ATCTACGTGCATTTTGGAAAATCCTGTGTATATATAATATTTTTTGAATATTGTAGTTGTCCGGCACTATATATTCATATAATAAAAACTTTCCAAACCTGATGTTCGAATCGTATGTACATCGCTATATAGAGGTTTTGGGGGTTCCTTCCTCCGTGTTCTAAGTAAGAATCCCACCAGCTATCTACGTGCATTTTGGAAAATCCTGTGTATATATAATATATTTTGAATATTGTAGTTGTCCGGCACTATATATTAATAAAAACTTTCCAAACCTGATGTTCGAATCGTATGTACATCGCTATATAGAGGTTTTGGGTGTTCCTCCGTGTTCTAAGTAAGAATCCCACCAGCTATCTACGGTGCATTTTGGAAAATCCTGTGTATTAAATTATTTGGAAATATTGTAGTTGTCCGGCACCTATATAATTCATATATAAAAACTTCCAAACCTGATGTGTTCTGATCGTCTGTACATCGTATATAGAGTTTTGGGGGTTCCTCCGTGTTCTAAGTAAGAATCCCACCAGCTATCTACGTGCATTTTGGAAAATCCTGTGTATATATAATATATTTTGAATATTGTAGTTGTCCGGCACTATATATTCATAAATAAAAACTTTCCAAACCTGATGTTCGAATCGTATGTACATCGCTATATAGAGGTTTTGGGGGTTCCTCCGTGTTCTAAGTAAGAATCCCACCAGCTATCTACGTGCATTTTGGAAAATCCTGTGTATATATAATATATTTTGAATATTGTAGTTGTCCGGCACTATATATTCATATAATAAAAACTTTCCAAACCTGATGTTCGAATCGTATGTACATCGCTATATAGAGGTTTTGGGGGTTCCTCCGTGTTCTAAGTAAGAATCCCACCAGCTATCTACGTGCATTTTGGAAAATCCTGTGTATATATAATATATTTTGAATATTGTAGTTGTCCGGCACTATATATTCATATAAAAAAAACTTTCCAAACCTGATGTTCGAATCGTATTTATATATTTGAATATATCCTATGTAGCCTCTCACCTAGAGCATCCGGATCCATTCGCCGCATCGCCGTGGCGGAGGGTTGGTATGATTTCAGCAACAGAAAGTTGGGAAAAAGGGTGGCCAAAAGGGTCTGTGTGTAAAGGCATCTGTAGGATATATAATATAAATATGCAGTGTTAAGTTGTATGTATACATATACATATATTTACATGTATATATGATGGCGTGTTCTAAGTAGAGGATCCTCATATGTTCCAAGTCACTTAGAACGTACGTCCCCTATTCGCCGAACATGTTCTAAGTAGAGGGTTCGTACCCACCGAAAAATTTCCAAAACGATGTTCTAAGTAGTTGTCCGGCGCTATATACATGTAAGAGCGGTCCCAGCTTCAGCGATGGGTCAAGTTTTGTGTCAAAGCTGTCGTTGACAAAGTTGCTACTGCAGTGTTGTAGGCCAGGAATGCCACTGCATATATGAAGAGTGTTAAGATGACAGCATAGATTTGCAGCTACATGCTGTATAATGTCACACTTACGATCATCAGCATCCAACAGTGTCAAAACGCCACTGTCATGTTATGAGCATTAACGACATTGCCAAAACAACACCTTTGGGATCTCTAGGGAGTGCCTTGGGCGTCAAAGGGACGTTGCAGTGCTGCGGAGAATCACCGTGCTCACGCTTCTGTGCATGGGGAGTGTGGCAGATTTTGGTGAGCGCAGTGCCACAAGAAAGGCACCGCAAGGGTCACATCTTTGTGGATGAGAAGGGCAACAAACTGACCAGAGCAAAAATGATAGAAGGGTGGAAGAAAGTGACTGGCAAGGATGTGACCGGGCATTCAGCCAGGAGAAGCGGCGCCATGGAGTACATCAGAAGGGGATTGCAAATACAAGAACTAGCTTTCCTAGGAAGATGGAAGTCTGCAGTGGTGTTGACCTACGCGAATGACGCGCTGCAGGACATCCCAGCAAATCGAAACATCCCTGGGGAGGCTAGAGCATTGGTGATATCTTGCCCCAAAACTCCATGGGAAACAATCCCTTGCCCAAGTACGCCTTGCACACCACTTTCTGCGAAGGGAGCTGCCTTCACAAAATGGATTCTGTGAAGGAGCTGCCTTCACAAAAATGGATTCTGTGAAGGGAGCTGCCTTCACAAAATGGATTCTGTGAAGGGAGCTGCCTTCACAAAATGGATTCTGTGAGCTGCCTTCACAAAATGGATTCTGTGCCTTCACACAAAATGGATTCTGTGATGAGGATTCTGTGAAGGGCTGCCTTCACAAAATGGTGAAGGGAGCTTCTGTGAAGGGGATTCTGTGAAGGGAGCTGCCTTCACAAAATGGATTCTGTGAAGGGAGCTGCCTTCACAAAATGGATTCTGTGAAGGGAGCTGCCTTCACAAAATGGATTCTGTGAAGGGAGCTGCCTTCACAAAATGGATTCTGTGAAGGGAGCTGCCTTCACAAAATGGATTCTGTGAAGGGAGCTGCCTTCACAAAATGGATTCTGTGAAGGGAGCTGCCTTCACAAAATGGATTCTGTGAAGGGAGCTGCCTTCACAAAATGGATTCTGTGAAGGGAGCTGCCTTCACAAAATGGATTCTGTGAAGGGAGCTGCCTTCACAAAATGGATTCTGTGAAGGGAGCTGCCTTCACAAAATGGATTCTGTGAAGGGAGCTGCCTTCACAAAATGGATTCTGTGAAGGGAGCTGCCTTCACAAAATGGATTCTGTGAAGGGAGCTGCCTTCGGAGTGTGTGTTACCGGGAGGAGGGACGGGAGGACGGAGGAAGAAGAAGGCGGAGCGGATACAGAACTAAAAGCAAAAACCCCACACGTCAATGTGGGGAAAAAATACCTCACCCTATGCTCCCTGACCCAGAACACAACCACTTTCAAGCATCTATTTTCCTTCATCGGTTTCGTGCTGTAGAGCTTTGTTTCAAAGCTTGGCAGGGTCTTGGCAAGGTACTTCAGACATCTCTTTTGTGCCTGGCTTTATTTCAAGCCTCAACTTCTGTGCTGGGCAAGCATGTCATTTCTCAGCTCCACCAGCTTCGCTTTTGTCATGCCCTGCGTTCCACATTGTGGAAGGAGGGCATCGATGACAGCACCATGTCCTCCTTGGGTACTGAGCTGCTTGCTTCTCAGTACAAGCCACCAGGAGAATCCATTTGTCGCCCCACCACCCTTGGATATACCCCTGTTTGGTATATTTTCCTGCTTTCACCTTGAGCCATCCAGAAAACTCCGGCCTTATTTCAGGCCCCAGCTCTTGCATTTTTTGCTCTACTGCAGATGTCGAGTGGGATGCTGGCCTCTTCAGTGCTGGCCTTGTTTCAAGCCTCTGCCCTGCCATAGCAGCTGCTGGTCTTTTGGCAAGCTTTTTGCCCATGGCAGGCCTCTTCTTGACCTGATTGGCTTTCTTTTCTTTTGTTGGTAGGTTCTTGGTGGCTAGCCTCTCTGCTGCTTCTGCAGCTTGCTGCTCCAAGGCTGCTTTGTGAGACTGGGCTCTCTTGCTGAGGAATGGCAGCCTGGCCGAATCTGGTGAATGGCCTTGTTTCAAGCCCCTTGCCCCAGCTGATTTGGGTGATGAGGGGCCTTGTTTCAAACCTCTTGCCTTCGGTGTTTTGGGTGATCTTCTGCCTTTCAAGGCAGTGGGTGGTGACTGGCCTTGTTTGAAGCCACTGCTGGCTGCTGCCAGGCCTGATCCTTCCTTAGATGCTTCAGGTGTTTTCAAAATCATTGGGAATCCTTTCGAATTCACGGGCACTTCAGAACTCACATCATCTTCATCTCCAAGCCCAGAATTGTCAACTTTCATGCCAGTGGCCTTGTCACAAGCCTCATTTTGTTCTTCCATGGCTTCTTTGCAAGGATCCTCAAGCTCCTTGGCGCTGCTGGCATTTTTCCATACCTCCCCATGCCCTGGCTCCATTGCCAGCAAGTCTCCAAGCCTCTCGGCATCTGCCTCACTAGCTTTCTGTAGACATTGCCTCCTTCTCAGAATTATTTGTCAGCCTCCGCCAATGATTAAAAATGATGACTATCTTGCTGCTAATGGTACTTGTCCAAACATTGTTCCCCATGTCAGTTTCATTTCATGTAGTGAACCTGAGCGCTTGCTTCTTGAATGGGAGGCCTTTGGGAATGCCATCGCGCAGTGGCAAGATGCCTCTGAGCCAGATTTGGCACTCCACTAAACCCTTAGCAGATGCTGCCTGAGCAACATCAAGGGTATTGTAGACCCCAAAATCAAAAGTCCTTGCTCCTTTCTTTTCATTATAAGTCAAAGACTTGAGACAATTCTTCCTCTTTCATGTCCAAGCTGGGCTTCCTGTTAGCTCCACCTCGGATTTGTTTGCCTTTTTCCAAGCCTCCTTTGTCATGGCCTTTTTCCAGGCCTCCTTTGCCATGGCCTTTTTCCAGGCCTCCTTTACCATGGCCTTTTTCCAGCCTTGCTGCTTTGTCTCTGCTTGAGCTCTTGGACCTGTCTTTCTCCATGGCTTTTTTTCAAGCCTCAGAATTTGCAAAAAAAACAAAAAATTGAGCCAAAGAAAAGGCTGCAGAAACCAATTGCCATACATAGATATTCAGATTACATGAAACTGGATGCACATCCCCCTCAACACAGCTTCAGTCAGCCAAGCACTCTCTTTCTAATTAATGCTCCAAGGCAGTTTTGTAATTGAAAATGGCTGCAGGTATCTCGAAAAAATGTATCTCAAAAAAAAAATAAGGAGTCATGTTTTTCAATAGTTATTGTTTTTTTCAAAAAAATAATTATTTTCTCAATAATGGTTGAACTTTTTTCAATATATCGTATTATTTGAAAAAACAATAGCGAAGCCGTTTCAATCCAGACTGAAAAAATATAGGATTGAAACATTTCAATCCCTGGACCCTCAGGGTGAGAAGACGAAGAGGGGAAGTGACCGAGGCCTATAGACAAGGCACTTGGACAAGTGCGAAACCAGGGCATCAGGCGTGTCATGGGCCCCAAATCTGAGCGGAACGTGCTGAAGGTTAAGAAAGGACATGTGAAGGTTCAGACAGAAAGAAGACTGCAAGGTGCCGAGAACATAGTGAAGGCAAAAGGTCATGGCATGAAGGGGGCCTATCAAGTAGCCAGCTCTAATAAGGATTTGAGTGCGGCGGTGGACAAGTTGAAGGTTCAGTTTCTGGGCAACAACTTCGAAAGCCTCTCGCGACATCAAGTGAGGGGAGGTGATGAAGTTGGCAAAGATGCTGGAATCTGCGGAGGACAACGTATTTCCACTGTCTCACACCTTAGTGGAGAAGGTGGCCGCGTGTCTGAAGGCCTCAAACATGAAATCAGGGGATCAATACCTGAACGAGCTGAAGTTGAGGCATGTGGAAGAAGGACATGACTTGCCGCCGTGGTTGATCAGACCGTTCAGCATGTGCAAGAAAGCGTTGACAAGGTGCAAGGGTCCGACCAAACGAGCTTTGGAAGCGAAGCTGGAGGGCATCAGTGATGACGCTTGGGCGGCAACAAAACGAAAGGCAGGGGAAGGCATTGATCCGGTATGGTCGTATGCTTGGGCGTGCCTTTGGATGCTCAGATCGAAGCCAGCAACTGCAAATGGGAACATGTGCGTGCTGATGGGCAAGCGAAGCAGGTGTCGCTCAATATACCCATATCCAAGATGGACCAGAGTGCCTTGGGCGTCAAAGGGACGTTGCAGTGCTGCGGAGAATCACCGTGCTCACGCTTCTGTGCATGGGGAGTGTGGCAGATTTTGGTGAGCGCAGTGCCACAAGAAAGGCACCGCAAGGGTCACATCTTTGTGGATGAGAAGGGCAACAAACTGACCAGAGCAAAAATGATAGAAGGGTGGAAGAAAGTGACTGGCAAGGATGTGACCGGGCATTCAGCCAGGAGAAGCGGCGCCATGGAGTACATCAGAAGGGGATTGCAAATACAAGAACTAGCTTTCCTAGGAAGATGGAAGTCTGCAGTGGTGTTGACCTACGCGAATGATGCGCTGCAGGACGCCCCAGCAAATCGAAACATCCCTGGGGAGGCTAGAGCCTTGGTGATATCTTGCCCCAAAACTCCATGGGGAACAATCCCTTGCCCAAGTACGCCTTGCACACCAGCTCCCAACACTCCATGCGGAAGACAGTTTCACGAACAAGTTGAAGGTGATGTGGAGGTGACAGAAAACGCCCCCAAAGTGGAAACCCGCAATTTGTGGGTAGCGTCATGCGACACTAGAGGTGGACGAAGAACGTGGCACAGAGTCACAAAGGCTGGTTGGCAGATAGCCATGAGCAACTGGAACACAGCATACGGATGGAATTTCACCCGGAACCCCGAGAAGGTCATGATGTCAGCATCGTTGCAAGTCAATCAGAGCAAATGCAGAAAGTGCATAGAAGTCATGAAGACCCGCGACGTTGTCAAGGAGGGTAGAAGGCTGGCAGGCTTCATGGAAAAAGAAGCCATCCAAATGTTTGGCCTTTGAACTTGACAATGTGATGGGTCAGCAATAGAAGCTGACGTCGACACCAAGCAAAACAAGCGTATGGCTCTTGGAGGGAGGGTGGGACAGCATGATTTTGAAAGAGCGAATGTTTATAAAATAAATAAAGAAATAAATCAATACATATATATATTATTGTTTATTCATATGTATTATATATATATATATGTATTAAATATATATATATATATGTGTGTGTAAGTATATGCTAATATTTAGATACAGGAGTTTTGCATATATTGGTTGATTTCTACGGGTATTTTGTACAGGGCCCAATCACGACTCAGGTTGGAGCAATGCCAGGGAAGCTCATCCAGCGCCTTATCTGTGCTTATGACTAGCAGCTCCTTTCCTGTAGTGAAACCAAACAAAGAAAGAAGACTATGACGTACAGAAACCATACAAGCCCCAACCGCCCTCTGGCCTTTCGGGTCTGTGTGTCAAGAGCATCAACAAAATCCAACAATGCGCCATTAATTCAACTTGCCACTCCTCAGTTGCTGACTGTTGCTGAGGTGTCTCAAGTCCACGGAGTGCTCGAATCCTGTTGTTCTCATTGATGAGATTGACAAGTTGGGCGGGGCGGCCCAGCAGTTTTGCAAGGCCACAACCCATTCGAGTGAGAAGATCTAGTGTGGGAAATATACCAGACCAGCACGGGCTCGAATTTAATATTCGAGTCGCTTCGCGACGAGAACCGCTTGCACCCAGAGAATAGCACAGAGAGGAAAGCGGGCCGACTTGGCCCAACCATGCCCAACCAAGCTTGGCCATCATTGCGCCCAACTTGGGCCTAACTTGCGCCGAACTCCGGCCAGTTGTCTCCAACTTGGGCCCAACTTGAGACCAACTGGGGCCCAACATGGCGCAACTTGGGCACGTTTGGGCGCAAGTTGGGCTTAGCATGCGCAATTTGGTCCTGTGTGGGGGCATCTGGCGCCGAGAACACCCATCAAAGCAAAAAAAACCTGGGAAATTGAAACAGCGGTAAAAACCAACGTTCTTGTCGCGTTGAGGCCGCATAATTGGCCCGGGTTGGGCCCAACTTGACCCCGGGCTGCCCTGAAAGGGGCCAAACTTGGGCCCAAGTGGCGCTGTCTTGGGCCCAACTGGAGCCCAAGTTGGCGCCAATTGGTCATATGATCATATGGCTGAAGTTGGGCCCAAAGCGATCCAGATGGATTCCAAATTGTAGCCATCTGATGCACATGGAAACCCAACTCAGTTCTAACATGCCGCAACTTGGCACCTTTCGGCGACAGCTTCGCACCAAGTTGGGCCCAGCACAGAAAGAACATGGGGAACATATGGGAACATTGCTTCAAATGAAGCATTATCGACAACAAAAAAAACGTGATTTCGGATTGGGCCGGCTATGTCCTCCATTTTGAAGCCACATGGACCTCCACTTGGGCCGAAGTTGCTCCCAAATGGTAGTTGGGCCGAAGTTGGGGCCTTGCTGGCCGAAGTTGACCCCAAGTCGGGCCGATGTTGCGGCCATGATGTCGGATCGAAACGGCGCATTCGGCCGATGTCGTGCCCATATGCAAAATGTTCAAATTACCACAACGGGTCCCGGGCGAACATGGGCCGGCCCGGGCCGGCCCCCACCTGAACCTGCACCAGACTGACAGATCGGCTCACGCGTATCACTCACTGCTAAATTACCACGCCTCGGCACCTTCGGTGCGGCGGATTTATAATTTATACCGGTATAACACGCGGATTGGGCGTTTGTCTTGCCAGCTCATGGCCTTTGGCTCATTCTAAAGGACGCTAAAGTCATGTTTTTGTTGTTCGTCTCGCAGTATTACATGATCTGGCTGCTCAAAAGTGATGATCGCGTTTCTGGGGAAGCAAGTCGAACGAGTCCTGGCCAGAGCGATTCCTGGGCCGACGTCGTGGACTCAGGTCGAGACATGCGTGGAGATCCTTCCTCTGTTTGGCAACCCAGTAATCCAACGCCCTAGTCCATTTCCTCAAGTTGAAATTTACAGATGACCGAGATCGGAGCATCCTGCCATTTTTCCCGAATGCGTAGCAAGGGTTCCCGTTTCACTCTGGGGGTCTGGGGGTTGAGGGTGTGTTCGCTCGACGTTGCGTTCGCGAGCGCAACCGTCCGCAACCGTTCGCAACCGTCGCAACCGTTCAACCGTTCGCGTCCGATCCCCGTATGGCCGTGCCTATGGGAAGTTCTGCAGAGGTGGTCCTTTTTGGAGGTTTCAGACGTGTCGTTGCTTCGTTTCGCGTGGCAGGCGTGGCACTTCGTGACATTCAGACGTGTTCTGCAACGTGTCGAAAGTCGTTTTGCGTGGCAGGCGCAATACTTTTGCGACGTTTTCAGAAGATGTGTTGCAGTTTTCGTGGCAGGCGCAGCACTTTGGACGTGTCCATCGTCATTTTTCGTGGCAGGCGCAGCACTTTAGACGTGTCGCGTTGCGTGTTTTTTGCAAATCGCATTGGCAGGGCTGCGTCAAGTGGCGACAAGGCAAGGTGCAAATTCCGTGGCAGGCGTGGCATTTTGTGCGATGTGCTGAAAATTGACGGAAGCCTCGCACGAAACATCGATTTTGATGTTGCCAATTTTCGGGTTCTAAGGAAAACTCGTAGGAAAACGTCGATTTTGAAGCTACAAAGTGTGAAAATTGGAGGACGTCTCGCACGAAATGCTCGTTTTGGTGCTCCCACCTGTCTCGTCTCGCGTCTCTGGTTTTCCCGTGGCCTCGCCGTGTCTATGGGGGAAGCTGCAAAACATGTCCTTTCGGCATGTTTCAAACTGTGAAAATTGGAGGAAATCTCGCACGAAATGCTGGTTTTGATGTTCCTACGTGTCTTGTCTCGAGTCTCTGGTTTTCCTGTGGCGTCGCCGTGTCTATGGGGGAAGCTGCAATACCTCTCCTTTTCGAAGGTTTCCAAGCAGGTTGTCATGTCGTTTTGCGTGGCAGGCGTGGCACTTTGTGACATTCCAACCTGTTTGATAACGTGTCTAAAATGTCAAAATTGGAGGACGTCTCGCACGAAATGCTCGTTTTTCCTGCACCCACGTGTCTCGTCTCGAGTCTCTGGTTTTCCTGTGGCTTCGCCGTGTCTATGGGGGAAGCTCCGCACTCCACACTCTACACTTTACACTCCACACTCCACAATCTACACTTTAGACTCCACACTTTACACTTTACACTCCACACTTTGCACTTTACACTCCTCACTCCTCACTCGAGACTTTACACTCCACACTCCACACTTTACACTCCACACTCCCCACTCTACACTTTACACTCTACACTTTACACACTACACTCCACACTCCACACTTGACATTTTACACTCCAGACTTTACACTTTACACTCTTCACTCCACACTTTACACTTTACACTCCACACTCCTCACTTTACACTCCACACTCCTCACTTTACACTCCACACTCCACACTTGACATTTTACACTCCAGACTTTACACTTTACACTCTTCACTCCACAACACTTTACACTCCACACTCCTCACTTTACACTACACACTCCTCACTTTACACTCCACACTCCACACTTCTCACTTTACACTCCGCACTCCTTCCACTCCACACTCCACACTCCACACTCCACACTTTACACTCCACATTCCACACTCCACACTTTACACTCCACATTCCACACTCCACAATTTACACTTTAGACTCCTGACTCCACACTCCACACTCCACACTACACTATACACTCCACACTCCACACTCCACACTTTACACTCCACACTCCACACTCTACACTTTACACTCTACACTTTACACCCTACATTCCACACTTTACACTTTACACACTCCAGACTCCTCACTCCACACTTTCCACTCCACACTCCACACTCCTCACTTTACACTCCACACTCCACACTACACTTTACACTCCGCACTCCACACTTTACACTCCACACTTTACACTTTACACTCCGCACTCCTGACTTTACACTCCACACTCCACACTCTACACTTTACACTCCACACTCCACACTCCTCACTTTACACTCCACACTCCACACTCCACACTTTACACTCCGCACTCCTCACTTTACACTCCGCACTCCTCACTTTACACTCCACACTCCACACTACACTTTCCACCCCACACCCCGCACTCTACAATTTACACTCCACACTTTACACTCCGCACTCCACACTCTACAATTTACACTCCTCACTCCACACTTTACACTCCGCACTCCTCACTTTACACTCCACACTCCACTCTCTACACTTTCCACCCCACACTCCACACTCTACACTTTACACTCCACACTCCACACTTTACACTCCACACTCTACACTTTACACTCCACACTCTACACTCCACACACTACACTTTACACTCTACGCTCCACACCCCACACTCTACAATTTACACTCCTCACTCCACACTTTACACTCCGCACTCCTCACTTTACACTCCACACTCCACACTCTACACTTTCCACCCCACACTCCCCGCACTCTACACTTTACACTCCACACTCCACACTTTACACTCCACACTCTACACTTTACACTCCACACGCTACACTCCACACTCCACACTGCAGACTGGTAACAGGGGAAATATGTACAAGACTGATCAAATAAACTATTGCAGAAAAGTGTTCTGCGTGATTGCATATCCATGTGTTTTGACATCTGCGCCATTAACATACGTGTGAGCATTCGGGTTCGTGGGCTGCATCTTGTTTCATCTTCGGGAATCCAGAGTCTAAAGCCCTATGAAGCAACATATCCAAGAAATAGAAGATCTCCAACACACAATCTTTCGTTTCTTGGGTCGAAACCTTGCTGTTTTGCGGACTATACACAACAAAGAACTCCAAGTGGGTCTCGGAACTGAGGCTTTGCTGGAGGTTTTGGACCCGGAGCAGAATAGCAGCTTCAGGGATCATTACCTAGATGCCAGCTGCTCAGTATCCAGCGGATTTCATCAGATTTCTCTAAACACTGGATAAACATGAAGACAAACAAAAAGATATGTGGCAAAGTGTGTGCCATTCTTAAACCATGGATTTAGGTTTGGTTTAATGGCCTGGAAAGCAGGTCACTAGGTGGCTATACAATCTCAAAGCAGTTAGTCTATGTGAGATTTGACCAGTGGTGTTTGTTCGACCGGTGTCACCATGTGTCACCTCGTCAGTGAGGTGCCTGTGGATCTGTCCAATGTACTCTTTCTGAGTACGGCCAATGTGCTGGACACCATCCCAGGCCCTTTGCTGGTCACTTGGCACGGTTTGGACCTGCCAACTGTGCTTGTCATTTCGAAAGATTCGTGGCTGAATCATTGGTCCTTAATTTGAGGTAGTGAACAGGGAGTGCATTTTTGTTCGCTTGCTTGAGAACTCAGGATCGGATGGAAATCATCCGCCTTGCTGGCTATGTCTATGAAGAGAAACTAGCCATCGCCAGCAAGTGCCACACACCCGGCCGCCGGGTGTAGTCGATTAGTAGTTGCGCTGGACCTAACTACACCTCATTGCAACTTTCCATTGAAGTCACAATATTTTATTTTGCTGTGGACCTTGCCCATGTAGACTCTGCAGTTCCAGGATACGTCCCAAAGTACATGTCCACGATCTATATACTTCGGGACTGGCCTAGTAACACCCAACTCTTTACCAGAGGAGTTCTGTTCAGCAGAAATTCGCAGACGTGTTTAGGCCGCTGTTGTTCAAGGTACCTTATTCCTCAAACAGAGGCGCATCTCGCTGTGACCTGACGCTGGATCTTAGAATCCAGACGTCAAGAAAATGCTTGTGACAAGATGTGACAAGTTTAGTTTATGCCATGCCTTACCAGTCCTGTCTCGTCCAATCCCGTGGGCCTGAGCCGGTCACGTGGCTCACACACTGAGAATCCCTAATCCGAGTTGCAAGACTGGTGGGTTCATGTGGGTTCATGTGGGATCCCCTTTTCTGCCACTGAAAAAGGTGTCGTGTTGAAGCGCCAGGAGCAAAGTGGCATTGGAACAGAGCGCCTCAACCTGCAGGCGAGGGGAGGTGATGAGCAGGATAGTTGATTCATGTCGATTCCATTCCTTTCTGGGTCACCACCAGTCAAGTGTGGGCTCATTGAGTCCGTGTTGCATGATTTTACATGTACCTCCCCTTGTCTTTGTATGTTAGTGCCTCTCATGGAGGGGGTTTGTGAAGCATTGTGATAGCCCTGCGCACTGCTGCGTTGTGGCAGGAAGAGGCCCTTCAAAAGATGATCAAGGACTATGCCCGGGAGGCCGACCCGGGGAGGAAGCTCTTCATCACTTGATCAGGATCGATTAAGATAGATGGATAGATAGATCAAGACTACGAACACTCGATCAAGATTGTTACCGGTTACCGCCGATTACCGTTTGTTGTCTGGAGCTTTCACGGTGAGCAGAGACTTGGCACTAGATGTACTAGTCGCTCTTAGGAACTGCATGTCATCCAAGTGACTTCTGGCACCCCAATTAGCTGCCAGTAGAACCTTCCAATATCTTTCAATTGAATGCAGACGAAGAACTTTTTGAGGCCACCCTTCAAGTCTCAGACTCCATGTCACATCAAGTGTTGATAATTCTTGGCCGAGTGGCTAAGGCCGGCGTGCGAAACCTTCGTCAACTTTTAGAGAAGGTCAGCCGCAAGGCCGCTGTTTCCTGCACTGGCAAAAGACGATCTATATAAGTAGAGTGAGATCCGTGGAGTGTCTGATTGTCTTGCATCATTCTGATCCTTTCAACAAGCTTCAGTGTATAGTAAGAGGAAAACATCATATTCTTGCTCCTCCTAAACAAAGAATATCAGGAGAAGTCCTTTGTGTGATTGAATGTTCTTGTAAATCCTTGGGGCGATGGAATGGGTGCGTACTGAGCATATGTGTCATGTGTAGAGGCGGAGCGTTTGTCTGGAAGTATTGTACTGAGCATTGCAGCATGGTTGACTGGAAGTATTGTACAAACCAAGCGTTCAGGTCGCACTGGACTTGGTCCGAAAGAACAAATCCACAGATGTCGACCAGGCCCTTGGGTGCTGCAGTGTCCGTGCGAAACATTTGTTGCTACAAACGCACTTTCCGGACGACAGGTCCTCACTCATAACTCATAACCTGGGAATATTCTTGCCTCATGGCTGATTCCCAAGCCAATTGAGCCAGTGAGTGGCAATTTTCGAGTACTAGTAGCAATTTGCAAATCCACATTCAATTCACGAAAGCTAGCGGTAGCTAGCTGGACTTTAGTCTTGATTTGGAGAGGGACGGGCAGCTCTTAGTCCAACACACTGATTTTCACTCAACCCCTAACCTCCCGGAGCATTTTGGAGCAGTTTCAAAAGCTGATGGTTCTGGGCTCAAATGCCCCCAATCTTCGAGGTATACACAGTGTATCAACAGAACGTTCTATTTGTTTTTTGATTTTGCGGAAATGGTGGACATACAAAATCTGTACTGAGCGTATCAAGATCCCATGATGTTTCCAGACTCGGGTGAACCTTAGCTTTCGTGCATCCCCTCGGGCCTTAAGTTCTTTCGGGAAGATTACTTCGAAGAGGCAAAGGGCCAAGGCAAAGGAAATCTGAAGGGTGCACGCAAAAGTGTTTTGCACTCGATCCTATCCTATCTGTGCTCCTACTCGACCAGGGTTTCCTGGTCTGTAGAAGACAAATAATTATATAAACAGCAAGTGATTAAGATTCTGATTAAGGTGACAGACTATAGACAAGATCACAAGGCCGAGGTTGTTTGACTGCAGCATGTTTCTGGGTCTTAGCTCCCGAGCTTGATGTGCGACTGTCTTGATCTCTGATCAGTGGCCTGCCCGAGCTGCAGGCACCCGCAACAATTAGTCTTGAGAACCTCTCAACGTATATTGGTCAGCCGTTCGAAGCTCAGAAGGTACAGAACAATTTTCCCTGCGCCAGGGTTTGGTCTGGTGCTATTGGCATGCGTCCAGCATGTCCCATCAGCCCAAAAGCATTGCTTCCACTTGCGATATCTCAAAAAAGACTGCAGGGGGTGTGATGGCCAGAAGCAAAGGATGTCTGTCAAGCTCACATGTTTGTTTCGTTGGAGTGAGGCACCAGCTCATTTGCAGCAACACCACTAGGGTATTGCATCCATGTGCGCGTACCATCACGGAGCCATGCTAAAGACGCTAAAGAAGCAACCGTTCACGTACTCACGCTTAGACCTGCTCCATGTCAAACCTTGTTGGTTGTCTAGACCTTCTTTGAAGAGCAGCATGTCTTAGGGTAGTACTAACTCCTCGGAAGTGATTTCATTGCAATGGTTTTGACTGGTTTGACATATTTGTTCAGCAGATTGCCAAGTTTGAAGCATGATGTAGATTGCAAGTGGATGTGGGAAGTCACAGAGTTACCAGAGTTGCTTTCTGCCGCCTTTGGCTTGGATATGCAGTTCTTCCACCACTTCGGAACTGCTGAATACAAGCTTTCCAACTAGTACCCCAACGGATTCAGCAAAGCCCAAGGGGACAACAACCTTACAAGGCTTGTGAACCACGTACAGCTTGCTTTTAAGTCTACTGTGGGTCACTTGTTGTAGCAATGGGTTGTGTCTCTGGCCGGGCCTGGGGCCCCAGCTGCGAAGCTTTTGGTTGACATTGAACAGACGTGACATGACTTGTTTCATGACTGGATGCTACAACCCCAGAGCTGCAATCTATGTGTCGATCTGAAAACATCTGAAAACCACATTGTTCACCTGAGAAGGGGCTAAGAAGCGGCTGAGAAGCAGGTCTAAGCTTCCATCCGGTCGACTCAGATCTCTCACTTCATGCCAGCCTGGAAAACAAACAGCCACTGGCAATCCTGAGGATGGCCATGCTTTTGAACATTGAAACTCCGATCGCATTCGTAGGAGACATATTCAGCGCGCTAGAATTGCGCGGAGCTTAACAGCCACTTTGGTTTCAAGTGGACCTTGGCTGAGGCAATTTTAATCGTGCTATTTTTCTCTGCGGACATCATCTTTGTCGTATCGCGGGTGCTCTTGCGGCCACAGTCCTCAGGCACCTTGGCGATTAGCTTCCACAGGACAGTTGTCAAAGGCATCCATTTCCAGACTCAGAAACCTGATGGGTGATTTGGTGCCACTCACTGGTGCCACTCACTTGCAATGGATGCTCATTGCTCCTTGTCATCATTGTTTCACCATGTTTCACCTAGTGGGATGGATGAGAGCCCCATAGTTCAGAATCAGGACTTACTTCAAGGTCTTGCTTCGACTGCGCAACCAATCGAGCCGCTTCAGGGAAAGGATGGGGCTTCCTTTGCCCAATGGATGAAGGGTTAGGATTGCAGTGACTTCATTCCGATAGCTCAAAGCCACCCGTCCATCGGTCGCTGCGTGTTGCTCTGGACCTTTGTCCCACCAGACCATCCATGCAGGAGTCCATACAGCTTTCTTGTGCCTAGGTGACACCATTGCGGACCTAGCTCTGCTTGCTGGACGTGTATTGGGTTCTTTGATCCTGGCTGCTGTGCTTTGGCTTAGGTACATGCCACACGTGATCTAGTCTAGAATCTAGACATGGGGCTTTCATGTCTGTATCTTTGGTGCTTCCTGATTCGTGTTTGAGAGTGAACACCGTTCGAGCGACTGGAAGTCTGGTAATGTCATAATATCATATAATATCAGATTTTGCAACTTTTAGAGGCGACACCACTTTGGCTGTCCCTATCATGCTTATGAAGTCTTTGCACAGTGAGATCACGTTGCGACTTCAGAATTTTGTGTAGACTTCACACTGCTAGAGGTGGCTTTGCGCCTTGCACTGGGACACTGGCCTTGGAGAAAAGCTTCTAATGGCATCAGAGAAGTGACTCGGGAGCTCACACGTCAGATTTCAGGCACGCGGGTTTCTGCAAGCTTCATTCTCCACATTTGTTTCATGACATTGCATCACTTTTGTGGTACTCTCAGAATCTTGCAGGGTAAATTGAGCTTCCCAGCTTCCCTTTGAAATTCCAGCCATCCTCCATATGCATCTTTGGTGCATCCACAGTGTTCAGGTGAGCGACGGGAGACACCGTTGTTAGACAGGGGCGACAACGAAAGCAATAGCAGCTCTCAAGCTGCGCACCTCTCAGATGTTGGCCGGAAGGATAATCTCACATCGGGACCATCCGGATGATAGAATCTTATGTTATGCACGAAAAACGAAGCATTAGTTTTTGTGAGTGAGACGTTGTGTTTTGGTGGTGGACGGCTAGCCATTGGGCCATTTTGGCTCAAGCCATCCCCACTGGTCATATGTGGCCTCCCGCTGCCACGGCCACCATCGATGGGGTGGTGCAGGTTTACTCGGTGCCCTCGCAGGTTTGGGATGCCTTCTGTTCGGCGGTTGGAGACCCTGGCAGCGATCTTCGGATCTTGGCTTCACTGCCGGCGTCGATGGTGAGCGAGGCTGCGACCCTTTGTCGGCTGGGGGATGGCCGGGGTTTTACTCCAGTGGAAGCAACACAGGTGGGGCTGGTGTACCGTGCCAGACATCAAGTGGTGCACGTAGCCTTGAAACGACCCCAACCCTGGGAACCTACATCTCAGCAGAGCTCATCGGCAAGGGATATTTCCTTGTGGGCGACGGCTACCAGTGGACAGGAGGGAAAGATGAAACTCTTCCAAGTGGCGGAATCCAGCAAGGCGGAGTACTGCACGAGATATGACTCGAAGGTTGGGGGGCAGAAGATCCGACGGTAGAACAACTGTCGGCAGTCCTGCGGAAAGTACGTGTTCTGAAATAACAACCACCGTAGTGCGATTTTGCAGTTTTGTTCCCCTGAGCAGAGCATCGAATATTGATTACAATTACAATCAATAAACTTCCCACTTTTTATATTGATATGGATTTGGTTGAAAATATTGAAAATATTTTTGTGTTTTTTGTTCAAAAAGCTAGAAAAATATTGATTTTAAATATTGACTTTCATATTGATTTTAGACCTTCAACTTTTGGACATGTTTTTGTTTTTTGGATCCACGACATGCATGTCTTGCTGTCGCAGTTTTGGCTGACAGAGATATCTAGCTATATAATAGGTGTAGTGTATACTGCTTTCTTGTGCCTTGAAAAAGGCATTGACATCCTTGAAAAAGGAATGTCAGGAAGGGGAGGTGCTAGGCACTTCTCCAAACCAGTGGTCGACCAAGGTCTTCTAATATAAGGATCCTGGTTGGAAATTCCGCTACAAAAGTAGTGGACTTGGGTCCTATGTAAAAATATATTTTTCAATATTTTTCAATTGTTTTTACAGTCCCCCTAGGACCACGTGTCCTTGCATTTTGTAGTAACCCTAGGTCACATATGTTTCTAGATTCAAACATGGGCTGGTCATAGAAGTTTGTAGTGGTTAAGTATGTGAGATAATAGCCGACCCAAAATGGATATCTGACTTCACTCAGATTTGCCCTAAAAGTACTCTGTAGTAAATTTGTAGGGTTCCACGTTCAATACTAATATTTCCCCAGAGTAGTGTTCAATTTAAATAATAGCGGGCCGTTGCAGTTTGTAGAAAAAACATTTTCGCAGTGCTCGAGTGAAATCACTGCTGAATTTGTGCTGCCATGTCTTATTCGACCCAACAACTGAGAAAAACATGCACAACACACACACAAACCCAGGATTGGACAATCCATTTCGATTGATGCTCCCAATCTGTCACTCTGCTTTTCACTGCAAAGTCAACCAATACCGCACAAACATACCCTTCAATTACACTGGCCGCTGCATACCCAAAGCCCAAAGAGGTCCACTACAAAATCAAGTTGCAGCGTTCCAACGCTACAAAATCCACTTCAAGAAACCTTTGTCCCTCCCCCATGGCAACCACCTACTGTCATCGATCATTTCAAGACCACACACGACCAGGTTTTCTGGCGCCTGCATTTGTCATTTAATTTCTTACTTTCAAAAGACAATTCTGTTCACTTTTTTTTTGCAGTGTATACCAAAAAATCACTACAAACTACTTTGTCATTTTTTTGATTGATCTTCACGGCTTGAGTGGGATCTACTTAAAAATCACTACAAACATCTATGTGGTTTTTAAAGGGTATATTGAAGGGCCTCTTGTTAGATTCTTTGGTTTTTGTAGTAACCCTTTATCCAGGCTGGGGTTGCACTTTTGTAATGTTTTTTTTTGGCCTGTGCACGGAAAATGTAGTGATTGGGGTTGGGCAGAGCTACTTTACAGCTACATAATCTTGACCCAACAGTCCTCCCCAAATACCAACCCCGATATATAAGGTGTTTTCTGAACATCAAGAAATGATGGTTGACCTGAAAGGCTATGAAGTTCTGAGCAGGAACTCAGCTATCAATGGCAAAGCCTTGCACCAGGCATTGCCTTTGATCAAGGTTGGTTGATCTTGAGCCATCAGCTGAGATCCATCCCCATGCTGCCAGAAATGCCTTGATGAAGCTCATCACTGAGGTTCCAAACTTGAACTCTTCCAAGTTCAATGGATCAGTCTATGTGAGCCTCAGAGCTGAGCGACTGGGAGTCTTGTCGCACCATGTGAGGAAACTTGCAAGGTGCCCATCTGTGCCCAGTGTGGTCTCCAGCCTGACTGGCAAGGAGTACCAGGAGCTCAAGGAAACCTTGAAAAAGGTTGTGCTGAGGAAGACTGATCCTGACAAGTCTGTGAAAAAGACAAGAAGGGCAGCCCCTTGAAAAAGGCTTCCTTGAAAAAGGACAGCCCAAGCAAGAAGAGTCAAGCTGGCAGCAGCACAGACACCTTGAAAAAGAGTAGTCCACATGCCAAACCTTGAAAAAAGGACCAGGAGCTGGGCAAAAGACAGCCAGTGATGTCTCTGTTGATTCCTATGGCTCCCCAAAAGAGTTGGCCACCCCTCAGAAGTCACCACCAAGGCTGTGGCAGAAGAAGAGGGTGGGAACAATGGGCAAGCACTAGGCATCAGAGCCTGTGCACCAAGGTCTGAAGGCCGCCTTGGGCTTGAATAAGGATTGCTTGAAAAAGCCAGCAGCGGCCTTGAAAAAGGCAGCTGGGACATCAAAGACTGTCAAGAAGAATCCCTTGAAAAAGGAACCTGAAAAAAAGAAGCCCACAAAGAAGGCATCCTTGAAAAATGATAGGCAGCCATGGGCCAAGATTTCAAAGACAACAGCCAGAAATCCTGCCAGATGTTACTTGACAGGCTGCCACCACAAAGATGAGAAGGTGTCCCACAAGTGGTCCCTCCAGTACAGTTTTGTTGTGGATAGGATCAAAGAAGCATTGGAGAAGGACCACCTCACTAAGGAGGAGGCTCTCCAAATGAGAGTGGACTTGTGTGCACGGTTTCCTTGAAAAAGGACATACAGACATGTCCTAGAAGCCCTTGAAAAAGGGCTGCTGTGTAAATAGCAACTCTGCACCTGTCTTACCTCTGGTTTTGGTAAAAAACGATGCTGCAGGCATAAGCTTTGCAGCTTTAGAGGGGAACCATGGTTCAGCAATATCCCCCCATGGTCAAGCTATGTTTGTTACTTCTTAGTGAAAGGGTGTTTGGTTATGTACTGAACCATGGTTCCTTTCTAGAAACTAAATGTAACTGCAGCTTAGCTGGCTCAAAACAACATGCTTGGGCAGGCACACACAGCATCCACACTTAGCAACAACAGCACAACTAGGTCACACAACTAGATCACACACTAGATAAGAATGGATCATTGTAGTGATCCGGCAGGAACTGAATCCTGTAACATGCAAATTAGATGGGAAACAAATTAATCTACGACGTCGGAAAAATTGCAGGTACGTCGGGATGATCAGTCCCGATATCACAATCTCAAACCACCGTCTTCGTTGGGCAGTGGGTGGAATGAGATTCACTGCCCCCCTGCATTATTTAAAAAGGGAGAAGAGGGAAGAAAAAAGAAGGAAGTTTTACATCTATCCAGATGTCACACACACACACACGGCAGAGCCGGGGAAACCTTGAAAGGCAAGAGGAAGAAAAAAGCGGACACACGACGGGCCGACGGCCAAAAACAGCGAAGGGGGGGGAGGGGAACAGACGGACCTCCGGAACCAACCTACACGGCAAAACGGACCTGACAAAAACAGAGCACACATCTAAACCCAACGACACACTACGGAGAAGCCAGTAGGAGGGTAATTAAGGACCAATGGGGACTAGTTGGTGCAAAAAGGAACCAACAAAAATTAATTGGGACCCAGGTCCCCAAACAGGATTCAGTTCCTAACTACCTAAAGGTCGTGCGTTATTCCCTTTCTGGGACCGTGGTCAAGTCTTGCCCCAGTTGGCATAAACGGCTTTCAAGTTCCATCGAATTAGGTGCACAATTTGTTTCACCTCACCAGACAACCATCAAAAGAAAAAAACCACACCTGGAAAGCGTGTGCCTGCCTGTCATTCATATCATGTCATGAATGTCACAAGCTGGAGCTGCAGCGGTGAAAGAAATTGTGTTTCTGGTTGTTCAGAGCAACTTCACGTTGAAAGAGCGGCAATTGGCGAGGTAAGTGGGGACGACAAGAACGGCGGGACTTCGTGAAAAAGGCGCATAACAGTAAGGCCAACTGTTTCACTTTACTTAAACGAATTGCTAATTCAAAAGTGTAAATTCGGAAGTCAATTCAGTCGACGTTCACCCTAAACAGAGTTGCCTCAATTGGCCCTATGGCACCATGTCGGAGTCACCGTAGGAATCACATTAGATAAGAATGGAACATTGTAGTGATCCGGCGGGAACTGAATCCTGTAATATGCAAATTAGATGTGAAGCAAATTAATCTACGACGTCGGAAAAATTGCAGGTACGTCGGGATGATCAGTCCCGATATCACAATCTCAAACCACCGTCTTCGTTGGGCAGCGGATGGAATGAGATTCACCGCCCCCCTGCATTATTTAAAAAGGGAGAAGAGGGAAGAAAAAAGAAGCAAGTTTTACATCTATCCAGATGTTACACACACACAACTAGGTCACACAACTATGTCATTTCGCACTACCACAACAACACACAAGTAGGTCACTTTCCTCTGTAGTTGTTCCTTTCGCATTTCAGGCTTGAAAAAGCCTGAACCCAACAACCTGAAAGAGTTGTTGGAACAATTGTTTTGAAAGAGGCAAACACCCAGGGCTTGAAAAAGCCTGCCAAAACGGCCAAGAAAAAGGCCAAGAAAACTGGTTTGAAAAAACCAGAGGAACAAGACTTGAAACAGTCAGGTTCTGAAATGAACAACAAGTCCAGGGCCTCTGGCTCTGGCACCACCTCCCCAAGCCAGGAGGGAAAGAAGGCAGGGGATGCAGTGGACTTCGCTGTCCCAAGCTGACCCCTCCTTGCACCTCTCCTGAAAGCTTGGAGGAGAAGCTGGAGGCCTTGAAAAAGGCCCAGGCATCAGCTGAAGAGCAGCTGAAACAGAAAAAGGAAGCCTTGAAGGAGGAGGAGGCAGCCTTGAAAAAGGCAGAAGAGGACCTGGACAAGGCTTTGCCCAAAAGGGGCAAGAACGGCCCCAGGTCCAGATCTCAGAGCAGGGCCAGGCTCTGCAGTGCTGAGGAAGCTGCCAAAGAGCATGCCCTCAGGGACAGGCTGACCAAGCAGCTGGCCAAGCTCTGGAGACAGACCCAGCCAGTTCCTTGAAAAAGACCAAGGACACATCCTTTTTTCAAGGATGTTCCAACCTCTTCCTCCTCCTCCTCTGGGACAGCCACCACATCCTTGAAAAAGGAAAAGGAAACCTTCAAAAATGTTGTGGTGGTGGACTGGCACAATACCTCTTTGAAAAAGGGAACACAGTGCCCTGGAAACCCTGATGTTGCTGGCAGAAGTCCACATCATCTCATGGGTTGGCTCCCAGGCCAGGTATGATTCGACCCTGAAGCAGATTCAGGAGGAACTGCCACCAGAAACCTTAAAAAAGGTAAAGAGCCACAGGTGCATCTGGACCCTCCTTGGCTTGGAGGGAAGGTGGACTGGGCTTGCTGGCTTGAGGCAGAGGCCATCTTTGATGACCAACCAGATGTCATCAAAGAGGCCCGCACCTGGGGGCTGAAGGGCTACCCAATCAAGGCTTGGGGCAAAGACCATGAAGGTCCAGCCTTCTGGTCATTTGCAGATGCAGTGGGCCAGTTTGTGCTGGACCAGGCCAAAAAAGCCTTGAAAAAGGCTATCCCCAGGCCAAGGAGCCCCAGATCCCTTGAAAAAGGGATCTGGCCCTCAATTCCTTGAAAAAGGAATTTGCACAAAAGCCCTTGAAAAAGGGATTCAAACATGTTTCACCTGTGTGTTGGCACCCCATGTTTTGGTAACAACATAACAGTAATTTGATTTGATAACCGCAAAATATGTGTTCAATCAAGTGTTTTCAGGTTGTTTGTGGTTCAACAAATGGGGTCCTAATTTTTCACACCTGCTGCAAGCATGCCAGACTGAATTCATCATGCCTTGCCGAAATGGCTGTGCATAATATAAGTGAAAAACGTAAATAATGAAATAATTAGACAGTTATTCACATATATACAGACAAATATGTACACAGATAAAACTATCTACAAATATATGTTTTGTTTTTTGATCATAAAATGTAATTTTAAATCTTTAATGTATTCAGATGTACAGTTAGCCAAACATTTTTTCAACAGCAAACAACTTTTTTATCATGCCTATATCAAACAGTCATGGCCTTGATAGCAGCTATTATTTTCCCTTGTACTGTTGATTTATGATTGCAGATATTTTATCCATATTTTACCTTGGTTTAATCAAATTTGACAAAACAAACAGCAAAACAAACAAACCAAAAAATCTGATATCACAAGATCTTCTGGTTCTTTTGGGCTTGGTGTCAGGAAATAGGTTGGGGCCAAGGGGTGGGAACTGCATACTCTATTTTAAACAATTATGTTTTTAGGGCAGGGGGTTTGCCAATCAGACTAAATGGGGAAGTAGTTACAAGTAGAACTAAGTAGTGATAGGGGATTCATTTCCTTGAAAAAGGAATATTTTGGATCCATTTTAAAAAAGAAAATGCAACTGCTCCATCCACATGTCAAGGCAAAGGAACTGTGTGGAATTGGTTTTTCTTATTGAGTTTGAAGACAAAGCTTGTAGTATTCAATAAACACATTTGCTTCATAGCTTTGGGGAAAAGTTATGGCTTCCAATACAGTTTTTTTTTAAAGCAAGAAAATGAAGAGTGATGAAAAGGGATGAAAAGTGATGAAAAGTGATGAAAAGTGATGAACTCATCACTTTGCATCACTTTTCATCACTTTTCATCACTCTTCATCACTTTTCATCACTTTTCATTTTCCTTTTTTTTAATGAAAATAAATTTGTATTTGAAGCCACAACTTTTCTGCCAGAACCCTTTTTTTCCACCAACATGTGTTGGCTATAGAATGTTACATAGAACCCTTTGAAAATAACACCGGTTGGTTTGGTTTGCTCTCAATTCATGTGAACATGTGTGACATAATGTGTGTTTCCAATATTACGTGTAAATGACAATTGTATTTTAAGTACCTTGTTCACTCCATTTTTTCACTTCAAAAAGGAAATCAAGCATAGATCTGTAGTTTTTTAACTGTATCTAAATATCCATATGTACAAGCCATAAACAAGCAAATGTGTTTCCTTTTTAAAATTACTTGACAGCTAGCAACTAGTAGATGGGAATGAAGAGACCTGCCCACTGTATGAAAAAGGGCACCAGGAAAGCCTTGAAAAAGGACAAGAAAAACACTTTGAAAAAGGATTCCTCAGGTTCCTTGAAAAAGGACACAGAGGGAACTCTGAATGCAAGCAACTTGAAAAAATTGGGCCAGCTTAGCTTGAAGGACAAGATCCAGAAGGCAGCTGAGGAGCATTCAGAGGAGGAGGACCAAGCGCAGGCTTTGGTTGCCTCCATGACCACAGGGGAGAAGTCCAATGCCTGGAACCAGCATCAGGTACCTTTGACAGTCTTGACTATGTCAAGAGTGTCTTGGTACTCATAGAACCCCCAGGTGCTGGGGCATTCTCGCCAGATCACCCTTCCTGACTCACAGTGGGCCTCCAGCTCCTCAGAGGTCCACTTTTTCAAGGCCTCCAGCTCTGCCAACCACTTCTCTGTCTTTTTCAAGGAGGAAGTTTTGCTGGACTCTTTGGTCACATTGGCAAACACAGCCGTGTTCTTTTTCATAAAGAACAAGGCTGTGCTCAGTCCTTTGGCCTTTTTGTCCAACCCTTCAAATTCCTTGTTCAAGGATTCATTGCCCTTCCTTTTCAAGTGGACTCATAAGGCCTCCTGTGTGCTGGGGCAGGAATATGAGGCAGGGGCTGAAGATGAGGATGATTGGCAGAAAGCCTTGGAAAAGGATCTGCACAGCCTCATGCTGGGGGGCCTTGAAAAAGGCAAAGGTGCTGCTGGCAAGGGCCTTGAAAAAGGCAAGGGAAAAGGGAAAGGCAAAGCCAGAGGCAAGGGCAAAGCCAAGGCACTGGCAGATGAGGACCTTGGAAACGGCTTTGAAAAAAGTCAAGAAAACCAGGGATTTGCTCAGCAGCACCCATGACAATTTTGAAGAAGCCTTGAAAAAGGTACAGAAAAGCCCCTACCTCAGCAAGCAGAGCTGCAAGGAGAAGCAGGAAGTGTTTTCTGGCCTTGGCAAGAAGCTGGCTCTGACCAAGAAAATCCTTGAAAAAGGAGGAAAGAACAAATTGGAAGTCGTCAAGCAGCACTTGCTTGAAGCCTGTGCCTGCATGAAGGAAGCCAAGGAAGAGGCCAAGGAACTGGTCCAGCTTAGCATGAAGGCCTTGAGCAAGGCAGGCTCTTCCAGGGCCAAGTGATAGTCTTGAAAAAGGCATGGCCCCAAAGATTTGGAAGAACCTTGAAAAAGGTCGCCATAGTGCATAGCTGCATAGCTGTACATATTTTAGACAGCACAGTTTTTGGATGACAGCAACAGCCTGTCCTGAAACAACATGGATAGCAGCTAAAACAAAAAGGAGAAGGCAGCTGGTGGGTGGAGATGGTGTGTGAGCTTGTTGCTCCTGACTTTGCATGCTGTTGTGCAGTTTTGTTTTGGCCCAAAGGAAACTCAGTGAACTTACCCAAAGAAACCCCTTGAAAAAGGGGTTTCCTCAACACTGGAAAAGAAGCTTGAACAAGCGTCTGCCTATGGCAAAAGGATTGAGGGGCTGGCAACTTGAAAAAGAATTGCAAAGGCCCAAGAAGAGCCTTGAAAAAGGCCCTAGGAAGCCACTGCCTTGCTTTGCCTCTGGGGGCATGGCAAGGTCAGTGGCTGCACCATTCAGATGTTGGCTGAAAATGCCATGCTTGATGGTGCACAGCACGAAGAATTGCATCAGATTGCAAAAGCAGGATCTTATGGTACCCATCCTGGGAACATACATAGAGATCTTATGGTGTCCTTCTGTAAGGACCTGGCTATGCCAGAGCCCATTGACATCTGGGTACCATGTAAGAACCCCAAGTGATTAAAAAAGGATGTGGAAGCAGCATCATGCTTCTTACCTCACCAGATGTTTGCAAAACTGGCCAACTATGATGGGTTTGAAAAAATCTTTCCACTTTAAAAATTGGAAGCTTTCTGGAACACAGCCCTTGAAAAAGGGGATGATAGGTTGAAAAACCATCCAATAATAACAAGGGGGTGGAAAAAAACCTAATCCCCCTCTTCTTGCATGGGGATGGAGTAGAGTATCAGAATCGCGATTCTTTGATGGTCTACTCCTGGGGCAGCCTTCTGCAGCAAATGTCCAGCTTATCTTCCCATTTCCTCATCAGTGGCTATCCCAAAAGCTGTACAGTAGATGAGACATGGGTCATTTGCAGCATTGCAGAATGGAATGCGCCCAACCCATGATCCAAAGGGAAAACCTTTGAAAAATGATTCGCCCTTTTTCCTTGAAAACGGAGCTCCTTTGGCCAATGGCCCCAAAGGATTTTTTTGGGTGATCCAAGGCGATCAGGAGTGGTTTAGAAATTCGCTGAAGCTCCCATTCTGGGCTAGTCATAACCCATGTTGGGAATGCACTGCAAAGAAAAACCCTGTACCAGCCAAAATGTGGTACAAAACCCATGAAAAAGGGAAACGAGGGTGGAACAAAATCACCCACGAAGAAGCATTGAAAAAGGCACCTAGTGGTCACAGGCTCTTCTCAGGTGTGATTCCTGGCTTAAGCACCAAAATGGTGAGAGGTGACTGCCTTCACATATTTTTCACCAAAGGGGTTCTGGGACACTTATTAGGAAGCATCCTCCATTACTTTTTGTGGTTTGAAGGGGTAGGGGTGGCCCAGGCAGTCCCACCCCAGAGGATAGGCTGGGCACAATCTTTCAAGCTGTACAGCAGGAATATGTGACCCAGGCCATTCCAACCAGAATCACAAACCTGAGAATGACAATGATCACAAATCCAAAAGAGCCCCACAAGACCTGGGCCAATTTGGATCTCAAAGCATCAGAAACCAAATGGTTCCTGATGGCTTTTGCACCAATTCTAAAAGAACTGGTGACTGGTGACTCTTGAAAAAGAGCATGAGGCAGCAATGCTGCATTCAGTAGAAGAAATGGTTGAGCTCATTCAGCTTTTTAATCAAGGAGATGTCTTCTTGACAGAATCCGAATGGGTCAAAGCCATGAAGCTGGGAGATAGCTTCTTGAAAAATTATGACTATCCCTCAGCATGGGCCCTTGAAAAAGGGATAACATTGTTTCACATTGTGATGAAACATCACACATTTCAACACCTGATTGTAGATTCCAAAAAATTAAACCCAAACGCACATTGGACATTCAGTTCAGAAGACTTTGTAGAGAGAATATCAATCCTTGCTGCTTCTGTCAGTCCTGGTGTCTCCAGCACCAAGTTGAGTTCAAAATTAACACCTAAGTACAGAATTTTGCTCCATTTCCTTCTTACAAGAGAAGGCATGGACATGGCACAAAGGAAGCTTGAACCTTGAAAAAGGACAACTTCCAGAACCCTTGAGAAAGGACTTTGAACTCAACTGCGCTGGTCCTTGAAAAAGGAGCAAGATCTGAAAGAGGATACAAGTCTTTGAAAAAGGAAGCGAATTGTATAAATGCGTGCACAAAAAATAATAAGATTAATATAATTACAGAAAAAACACGTGCAAAAATATTGATTTTCTGCTGTAGGTCATGCTCCTTTTTTCACATTTGTTTTTGGATTTTGGGTGTTAAACTAAGGCTTAAAAATATTGATTCCCAAATCAAAAAAATCAATCTAAAATAATTGATTTTTTGCAAAATCAAAAAGGCTCAAAGTTTATTGATTGTAATCAATATTCGATGCTCAGGGTCCCTTTGCAAAGCGCCACCTGAGATTGCAAGAATACCAGTCCTTCGTTTTGTAGGAGGACGGGACATTTCTCGCCAAGATGGTGCCGGGGCCGTCATGCTACGCCCATTAGCAAGCATCCTATCGGGTGCTGCGAACAATGCTGGTGATGTTGGATGTCATCAGCTTGGCAAACCTGATGGAATGGGAATCTATGGTGGAGAGGCTGCATCGCCAATACCTCGGATGTTGGGGATTTATTGCACAGGGGTCGGGGAGAATACATGAACCGCACCCTGGCCAAGATCAAGCTGGAAATCGATCAAGGCGGCAGCGTGCCGCTGGGCTGGAACGAAGAGGAGCCTTGGGACATCTTGTGGGGAAGGGTCCTGAGGGACAAGGACTATTGGTCGAGCAAGTCCACGTCCCTTGGACTGCCAGAGGCTCCAAAGGGAAGCCACTATACCCCCCATGGAGGAACTGGCAGAGACATCACTTCGTGGAGGACGTCGGGCTCTTCAACAAGATTCGGGCGAGGCGGAAGGCGAGGGCGGCAAGAGAAAGAACAGGGCCAGAAGGGAGGCCAGAAAACGGAAAGTAAAGGCGGAAAGAGAGGAATTGCAGAGCTATCGGAAGCTCAAAAGGTGGAGGGGGAAAGGGCCCTGGCGCAGCAGGCGCCAAAGGTGGTCAACAAGAGGAAGAATGTTACGTGTGGAACAATGGGAATGGCCTTTGTGGGGTCTGTTAGCCGGAGACTCTTGCAGGGCCAAAGTCACCTGGTCACAGCACTGCACTCAATGCGGGTCTCCAGGGTATCCTTCAAAAGAATGCCCAAAGAAGAAGAAGAAGAAGAAGAAAAAGAAAAAGAAAAAGAAGAAAAAAAAAGTGATGAGGGCGCCATGTTGGACACTCTTCATGCATTGTGCTAGGAGGTGAAGGGGCCAGTGGTTCCACCGAGGGAGAGCCCAAGAAAGATGAAGGCAGGGCCATACCAGGCAAGGAGGTGGTCAAAGTGCGCAGGGGCACCAAGAGACGTCGCTCCGAAGGTGACGACCCGGGAGGGGATGAGGAACCTCACAAAGATAAAATCTTGGTATGCGGAAGACATCATGCAGAGAGGAAACCTTATCGGTCCCAGAACTTCCATTCCTCCTTATTTAAGGAATTCCTCCTTATTTAAGGAATTCCTCCTTAAAATTCCTCCTTAAATTAAGGTGGACTTTTTGAAAAATTCCTCCTTAAATTTTCAATTGCAAGGAGATCTTGCACCTCCTTCAGCAGGAGACTTGAAACCTCCTTATCCCAGATCCTGGCAGCAAAACTTTTCACTTCAGCGCTGGAATCACTTGTGCTCGAAAACTTTGCAGAACACTCATGCCTATGGAAAAAGGGTTGTGGCTTCCACCTTTCACAGCTCCTAAGTGAGCTAGGAAGCCACCAAAGTCTTCGTCTCGATATGTCCAACTGTCTGATGGACAAGAGTTCTGGAGCAATAAATCTAAGAAACTGTGGTGCTTTGGTTTGATCTTCCAAGTATGGTCAGTCTCGTTTTCCAAGCTCTTGCACAACAGCAAAAACTTTCTGCCATGCAGCAGCATTGACTGGTGATTCCATAGATTCTTGGACAAGAAAGAATAACATTGCCACAGTTCTGTGGCAGCCATCTTGATTGTATATTCAAGCACATTGTCATCAGCCAAAAATTCATCGCAGATTTGTTTTGCAAAAGTAATCAACCCTCGGGCTTCTGCAGCTTTGGCTCGAAGTTTTGGACTTGAACTGGCTTTCTTTCTGATCATGAGGACTGTCAAAGTAGGAAGCTTGTTTTCCACACCTTCAGTCTTGTAGTAGCTTTGAATTCTGTGGAACAAGCTTTTCACCCTTTCTTTGACATTGTTGCCAGGCAAGTGATTTCCAGAGGCAATTAAATGGTGAAAAACATTGCCCATAAAATCTGCTGCCACGCCCAAGTCCACAATGTGAAGCCAGTCCAAAAGAAATTGTTTGCTTGTCAGTCCTGGTGTTTGAAACAATTCATTGATGTCAATGCCAGAATTGGAAATGGATTGCAACAAAGTGAAATGGTCCAAAGGATCAAATGCCTTGCAGCTTTCAAAGTTTCGAATTTCAATTGGTTTGCACAAGCACAAATGGCAGCATCCTTGTTTGTCTCGCCATCCAGGAAATTGGAAAACTTCTTTTCTCATAGCCCAATCACCTCTCACTTCAAGTAAAAAAGCAGTGAAAGGCAATGCCTTGCCATTGAATGTGCTTCGTTTTTTGTCGCCTGGGTGCCAAAAGCTGCCATCATGCCTTGCTGAAGGCCAAGTGCAATTGGCTAAGTGAATAAAAGACCAAGACAAAATTCCTAACATCTTCGACAAAGTTACTCCCTTGATGCACCAGTGCTTTGTAATACAGCACAAAGGGATTCGCAAAGTACCATTAGGTGGAAGTAAGCCAGGGAAATTCAATGAGATGCATTCCAAAGTTTGACTTCTGTCATAATTGTAAGGTGTG